ATAAGTTTTCTTTGGAGATGTTTTGTCTTACAACTCCCTGCATGTATCCCTCCACCATGTTAGGCTGACAGCTCAGCACAAAACTGCCATAAAACAATGTCACCAGCAACATATTCATAACTGTTTCATGTAATCGTTTTCAGTGAGGAAGCTTTTAGAGGGCTGGAAACTCTTCAGACGTCTGGTTCCTATCACCACCACTGTCACCGTCAGTAAGTTTCTCTAGAACAGAGCATTTCATATCAAACCACTCCGAATGACTGTTTACATCTTAACAGTTTAATTAGGCAGAACGTTTTGAAATTTGAAAAATTGGTGGAATTCCCTTTTGACTGCAGTGCTGTTTGTTTGGTTTGTCTTTTGCCCGTTTTTATATACTGATGGTAATGCAGTCAAACTCCATAGCAAAAACACAGCTGTAGATCTGTAGATCATTGTTTTGATGAGATTTCAAAGAACATGAAAAATGACCTCTATTGTTTATATTTGCTCCGGCACCTGAAGGAGATGAGTCATGGTGAGGAGAAGGCATGAAGACCTTTTGCATTCCCAGCATGCATCTTTGCCTGTGGACCTCAGGCCCCCACATAAGGCTGCAGTTGACCTGCTGGGACCGTGACGCTCCAGAAGCGCGTACGGACCCTGTTTGCTGCCTTTGACGTGGATTCAGTTAGAAGTTCTAGATAAGCCTAGAGAGGAACTTCACTTCACAGTGTTTACTGCTCTTCAGGAACACTAATGCTTAGTCATACTGAGTATTAAACCAAATCTGTGCACTGATAATGTTGCTCTTTGGTTTCCATGGCCAAAAGAAGAGCAGAAGAACATCAAGCAGTCCTCAGTGAAGTGTGTGAGGATGTGAAAGCCTGGTGTCAGACCAAGCTCTTTATACCCTGTCCAACACTACAGCACCAACAAAGGGTACAAACAGAACCAGTTTGTTCATATTCCTCCCAATTATACCCAGATCAGGACAGCAAAACACTAGAGGGCGCACATGAGCGAGTCCTCAGTGAATGGAGTGAATGGAGCTAAACAGGTAAAAATGAAAAACGAAATACATTTTTAGCCTTTTATGCATGAACTTCCTTTAATTTTGTGAAGTAGAAGGAAGTAAGAACATCTATCAGTATGTTAACTGATAGCACAGGGTTTGGGCAGTTAAATGCTAGCGGTACTGCTACTGAGTACTGATTGGTTACCATTCCTGCTATTTGGTGCTGATTGGTTAGCATTACTGCTACTGAGTACTGATTGGTTGGCATTCCTGCTACTCAGTGCTGATTGTTTAGTATTACTGCTACTGAGTGCTGATTGGTTAGCATTATGGCTACTCAGTGCTGATTGTTCATTATTACTTCTACTGAGTGCTGATTGTTTAGTATTACTGCTACGGAGTGCTGATTGGTTGGCATAACTGCTACTAAGTGCTGATTGGTCGGCATTCCTGCTGCTCAGTGCTGATTTGTTGGCATTTCTGCTACTGAGTGCTGATTGGCTGGCGTTACTACTACTGAGTGCTGATTGTTTAGCATTACTGCTACTGAGTGCTGATTGGTTGGCATTACTGCTACTGAATGCTGATTGGTTGGCATTACGGCTACTCAGTGCTGATTGCTTAGTGTTACTGCTACTGAGTGCTGATTGGCTGGCATTTCTGCTACTCAGTGCTGATTGGCCGGCGTTACTGCTATTGAGTGCTGATTGGTTAGCATTACTGCTACTGAGTGCTGATTGTTTAGTATTACTGCTACTGAGTGCTGATTGGTTGGCATTTCTGCTACTAAGTGCTGATTGGTTGGCATTTCTGCTACTGAGTGCTGATTGGCTTGCGTTACTTCTACTGAGTGCTGATTGGTTAGCATTACTGCTACTGAGTGCTAATTGGTTAGCATTACTGCTACTGATCGCTGATTGGTTGGCATTACGGCTACTCAGTGCTGATCGCTTAGTGTTACTGCTACTGAATGCTGATTGGTTGGCATTACTGCTACTGAGTACTGATAAGTTAGCATTACTGCTACTGAGTACTGATAAGTTAGCATTACTGCTACTGAGTGCTCATTGGTTGGCATTCCTACTACTTAGTGGTGATTGGTTGGTGAGCTGCTCAGCTTGTTGGCTGAGTGAAGCGGTTTAAGCGGTTTAAATGTACATCAGATGCTGTTACAGTGTTCTGTAACTAGAGTTGAGGGGCATCTCTCCTCATCAGAAATTCTCTGGTAAAAAGGTAAAAAAGGAATATCTGCCCTACTGTCACTGTCAAAACCTCATAACTCGTTTTGTTCATTTTTTCATCATTTTAAAGATGTATAATAAAATGTCTTTTACATTAACATCTGTCAATTTTCTTTGTTTCCTTTTAGCAGGTTCAAGGTTTTGCTATGACACTGATGATATATTTCTGTATCAGACTGAAAAATGCTTGTTTGTTAACAATTTACAGCCTAGTCTTGAATCATGGGTTCATACCAGCAACAGCATTCATAAATCCTTATCTGAGAGCACCAATCCCACTTCATAATTAGCATCACTGCATACTCTCCCCTCAGATACCCCCTCTAATAGATCAAGAGGATACCATGCATGCCATGCAGGCCTCTGACAGTGGAGCTCATAACAAAACTCAGTTGAAGCAGAATATAGTGCAAGGTTGTACAATGGGGCAATGTAGCTGCTAATGAATCCTGTGCAGACACAAAGAGATGTGATAGATCTTGAAGTTCATTCAAATGTGCTGCTGAGTCTAAGTTCTCACTGAAGTTGTTATTCATAGTCAGTTATTTGTGAGCTATTCTAACTACATGGTGTGTGCAGTATCTACGTTTTCCCCTCTATTCTGTGCTGCACTTCCAACTTTTAAAGCACCAGCACTAAACGCTCAAAACGTTTATGTACAGCTCTGTAATGCCTGCAGGGGGAGATTTATTTCTGAAGTGTGTTGTTTGCCTTCAGGTGCCCAGTAAAGGAAATATTCAAATTTGATTGGCTTATACTCAAAAGACACTTAGACTCAGGTATTCTATACCACTATATTAATGATAGTGACCAAATATATGCATTTTTGGGGGTGTTCAAAAGTTAAAAATCTGTTTTGACTGTATTTCTCACTGCGTAATTAAATTGTTAAGACACTCAGAGTGATGTGCTGCAAAATGCTCTATTCTAGAGAAACTTACCGAGTCAGAACTGTTCGCAGTGGTGGTGATAGGAACCAGACGTCCACCTCTAAAAGCTCCCTCACAGGAAGTTACTACATGAAATGGTTATGAATTCACTGCCTGATGTCTGAGACGTTTGTTACGGCAGTTCTGACGTTCTGTCATGACGTGTTGTGAAACAAAGTCCCTAAAGAAAACTTGATTTTTTCAGATTTACCACTATTTTATCATCAACGTTACATATGAAATCAGACAGGCAGGTTCACTGGTGGTTTTGGATGGTAAATAAAATGGCTATAAAACAGCTTCTCTACAGTGAACCATTTCACATCAAACAACTCTGTATGACTCGTTACATTTCACTGATTCAGTCATGTAGATATGGTGAAATCAGTGTGAATGACAGAGACGTCACTCTTTTCATTCAGCATTAAAGGAATGATATTATGTATTTTCACAGCTAATGAAGTGGTTATGATGGCTGTTATGGCTGAGCTGTGTAGAAGGACCGGCTGAGATGCAGGTGTTGTCTGCTAATGAGGAGGGTGGGGTCAGGGGTCAGGGACAGAAGGTGAGAAATGTGACCAAGGGCAGCGTTCTGAAACCTGACCATCCACACGGCACTGCAGCCAGCTGCCCTGACCATCAGCTCCACTTCTCCTCCTTCTTCTCTTTTTCTTCTTCTCTTCTTCTACTTCTTCTTTTTTTCTTCTTGCTTTTTTCTTCTTCTTCTTCTCTTCTCTTTTCTCTTCTTTTCTTCTTCTTCTTCTCTTCTTCTTCTTCTTCTTCTTCTTCTCTTCTTCTTCTTCTTCTACTTTTTTCTTCTTCTCTTCTTCTACTTCTTCTTCTTCTTCTTCTTTTTCTTCTTCTTCTCTTCTTCTTCTACTTTTTCTTTTTTTCTTCTTTTTTGCATCTTTGTATCTTTTTTACTTCTTTTTGTTGTTCTTCTTCTTCTTTATCACCTTCTTTCTTCTTTTTCTCCTTCCTTTTCTTTTCTTCTTCTTCTTCTTCTTTGCCTTCTTTCTTTCTTACTTAGCATCTTTTGCTCCTTCTACACTTTTTCTTCTTCTTCCTCCTCCTCCTTTTCTTCTTCTACTTCTACTTTTCTTCTTTTCTTCTTCTTCTTTTTCAACTTCTTCTTCTTTGCCACCTTCTTTTTTGCATCTTTTTATCTTTTTCACTTCTTTTTGTTCTTTTTCTTCTTCTTTTCTTCTTTTTCATCTTCTTTTTTCTTCTTCAACACCTTTCTATTCATCTAACTCTTCTTATCCCCTTCTTTCTTCTTCTTCTTCTTCTTCTTCTTCTTCTTCTTCCTTTTCTTTTCTTCTTCTTCTTCTTTGTCATTTTCTTCTTTTTCTTAACCTTTTTTATTTATTTTTTCATTGTCTTCATTTTTATTTTTTTCTTCCCCACCTTCTTCTCCACCACCTCATTCTTTTTCTTCATCTACTTTTCCATCACATTCATACCATTATCTTCTTCATATTCATCATCATCTTCATCTTCTTCTTTCCCTCTTATCCCTTCTTTCCCTCTGATTCCTCATGAACAGCTTGATTTCTTGTTACTCTTCCTGAAAATCATTTACTTGGTCATAAAGAACAAGTAGCAAAAACATCAAAGCATGGATGAACATTAAAACCAAAACTGTTCATAGAAGGTTTTCTCCATCTTTTTGAGGTGTTTGCTCTTTCGTGAGCAGGGGTTCATGGCATGGCCTCCATTTCCTAGCCCTCATACTTTGGGGAGTGTCCAAGCCTGGGGAGCAGAAGGGGATCTAGGATTACAGGCTCTTCAGGCAAGCCCAGCAGCAGCACATGTGCTGTCACTCATCTGCCTTACTCACACAGTCCACAGAAAGAGGGAGAAGAGAGACGGAGGGGTTCAGCAGGATTTCCTCGTCCTGTTCAGAAACAGTCTTTGAACAGTGTTACAGTCCAGCTACTGTCCATCCTTTGAGCAAGGGGCAACGTGGCCAGTGAAGATGGAAGGCCATAAAAGAGAAAGAATGGCAGGCAAGGTGCTGGTGGGACTGTGTGTGCTGGTGGCTTCTATGGGTCAGGTAAGAAGAACGACACTTTCCTTTCTCTAGGAGTGCTGGTGTTACTCAGGGTTCAGTCCTCGGCCCTAACTCTATTTAGATATGCTTCATTGTAATGTAAGCTGTAAACCTCATTTTAAGTTTTACAGATTTCAGAATGCACTTCAAATTCATCTTTTAAGCTACAAAAAAAATTGCATTGTATTTTCTTCATTATTTTCCATTATTCAGTATGATGGATTTAATGAATAATGATTAGTAAGTTTCTTAAAAGGAACTAAACTGGTGATATAAAGTTTAGGAGGCACTTATAGCCTGTGACCCAGAGCACATCTGTGGAACTCATCTATTCCTGTACATTAGGGATCATGTTCAGTAATGGATTGTTAACTTCCTTTGTTTTGAGTTAACATAACTGACATTGACCATTAGCAGTCTTCAGCAGGCTTGGACTGTGGAAGTGGTCAGTCTAAACATGCAACACTGCTGATGAATTGGACGATGAAAGCTAATCAGTAATTGCAATTGCGGACTGCAGATGGTTTCTATTCTGACATAATGGTTTGTTGTCCTTCCAACATGTCAGCATTGCCATTACAGAGTAATTAATAAATGAGGGAAAAATAAAAATATTAAAGACATCAATGTAAAGGGCAATCAGTTACACAGTCACACTGTAAGTGTTTGTAATGAAACAGAGAAGAAGGAAAGTTTTGACCCCTAGATGCTCTCGGAGAGAGGGCCGCTCTCATTTCTTGAATAAACAAGCGAGAAGCAGGGTTGGTCTACGGTGATGATTGTGTTTTTCATCAGTGAAAATTAGAAGCCAGTTGCCTTTGAGTTTGTGTTTATCACAAATATGTTTAATGTTTTATTACTTAAAGTAGAATAATAGTCAAATACAGGGGGTCCTGGGGGGTCTGGGACTTCCTAATTAACCTCCTGGACCCCCTAAATGTAAAAATAGAAAGTAGAAAAAGGAACATGTACAAATTCAGAGAAAGCTCATTGTTTAGCTGTTTCATCTACAAGCAGTGAGCTTCTTAACTAACTGGAGATGCAGCATCTGCCTGTAGTAAATTGGTTCACCCAGTTGGTCCTTCACAGCCTATCAACAGTAACCATGACCAGATACCTATGAAAAACTTTACAATATGCCACAACATATTTGTAAATATGAAAATCTGCCCAATGTCCCAAGAGTTTGGTGGAAAGAGTGGGTTGTTACTCATTTCTCAAACCATGGACAAAAGAGGAATGTGCATGATCTCAGTTAATATGTGGAAGAGCACATTACCGGACTACAAAAGAGCATTTCCTTAAGCAGAACTGTTAAACCAACTATTTTGTTGTCATTAAAGCATCGGCGCTGAGTCAGTTAGCAGCCCCACCAATGCTGGAGTAGCCAGCCAACATGGGACCCCCAGAATACCAGGGGGTATTTCACGCCCTGGTCAAATGATTCATTTAAATACACCAAAACAAAATTGTATCCCATTCATTACATTGTTATGTGGTGTAGTATTGTCACAGTCAGACTGTTGGTATGTGTCATTTGCTGGGAGGATTGAATGTTGATGAAAGAATGTGAAATATATGGCATGTCAGAAGGCAAAAATACATCAAAGCATTCCAGCAGTGGGCACGCCGCTCTCTCATTCCATAACATCTTTATCAATATTACACTGATGACCTGTTCATTTGATTTTCGTGATTGTCATTTTGCTTCACTTTACAAACATGTTGTTAAATCATGATTGGCCATGTTGGTACCAACTCATTTTGCATGCACCCTTTGATCAGGAGGCCCTCTGAGGCCTTGGTTATGGTTATAAGTCAGCTATTTTAGCCATGTATGACACCTGGGACAGCTTAGATTCCCTGCTCAGATGCCAGAGGCAATGCTCACCCCATTCCCAAGAGTGTAGGCATGGGCTGCCGGGAATTCTCAAAGCTTGGGTCCCAGGAGAAAGTACCGTTTTCATGGGAATATTGCAGGCTGAAAGGGCCACTGAGTGGACCTGAATGCCTGCAGGCCTGGTCTCTTTGATAGCCAGTGATGATGGCCAGCAGCTGTTCCCAGATGCTTTTACTCAATGCCGTTTGTCCAGCACTGTAATCCTGGCTACGGAAAGAGAAGGCCGACACCCAGAGACCGTGAAATCGTGAACAAATCGGTCCATAATGTGGCCAGTGTTGAGTTCATGCTCGTTGGAAACAATCACTCAGGCCAGCTGGAGGGTGTCCGATTCACGGGTAAAATCTCTGCTTCCTCACAGTTCCTCCCCAGGCTTATTGCAGAAGCCGTGCCAGATATCAGTGAATGGTCAATATGTCTCAGGAAGCTGAAGTGTGACCTACATATGAAGTCACACTGCTGTGCAGTAGTCAGACACCCTTCATTTACAGACATTAAGTATAAGTTATTAGATATTTTCTTTGGAGGTTTGATAGAAGATGATTCACTTGCATAAGGAAGCGACAAGTCAATAGAAAATAAGTGAGTTTCCAAAACTACTATTAAAAGCTACAGAGAAAATGGGACTCCTAACAACCACCTGGAAGACCTGGTAGACACCAAAACTGCCCCCATCAGATAAACAGCACTTAAAGCTTTCATCTTTGAGAGTGAGGAGAAAATCAAGCTGCTTCAGATCTGAAAACATCCACAGGTGTTTCTGTCCATCCTTCCACTGTGAGAAGACGACTCAGCGCTGTGGGTCTGAAAGGATGTGTAGCTGTCAAGAAGAACTTCACTGAGAAAAGGAGACGGACACATCAAACAAAGAAGCTGAACGATGGACTGACCACCACAGAGTCCAGACCTCAACACCACTGAATGTGTTTGATTACTTTAGAAAATGATCAACCAGCTTCTGATCTTTGGAGGTCTGTCAGCAGATTTCTTTGAGAAACTGAAGGTGGGTCTCCTGAAAAGAACAGAAGCTGTAATAAAGGTAAAGAGTGGTCACGCTCTGAAAAATGAATATTATATTTAGTTATTGATGCTTCTGTGAAGTTTTCTTTTTTTCCTGACACTGAAAAATGAATAACCTGACTGAAAATGAAATAAGTGAAGGCCGACTTCTGCACAGTACTGTAAGCTTAATATAAGTTTAACTGAATATTAAACAGAGTAACGTCTTCTGTTTGACCATGACTGCAGAGCATTCTGGGTATTGTAGTTCTGAATCTCAAAAAAGAGCTGTGAGAACAAGTCGTGGGAGTTCCGTCAGCTGTATCCTCCCAAAGCATTAACCAGAATTCCACGCTATGGCGACTGTTACTATTTTCTCTTCAAAACTGTTGAACACTGCGCTCCCCATTAGAGACGGCAATAATAAAGATTAGACATCTGCTGCGGTGAAACATGGACACCCTCTAAAAATAGGAGAGCTGCTGTAACAAAAGCATGTCTGCTACACGGGTTTGAAAGAGCGAGAGAGGAACAGGGGGACGGGGGGTGACCTCCAATGCAACGAGGTGCTGACTGGGCCCTGGAAGAAGCGACAGAAAAGGACAGAGCCACCTCTGTGAACCCTCCACCACCCACTGTCCACCTGGCATTGCTGCTGACCCCACTGAGATCAAGACACATAGGGATATAAATCAGCAGGACCTCTGCCAGATAGAGTGGGGGGCTATTCGGGGTCTATGCAAATAGAAACATAATGGGAAATTAGATGTTTACTTATCAACATTGTTCATAAAAAAATAGATGATGGGATTTTGTAGTAAATACCGCATGTTTACTTTTCGGAAAGAAATAAGCAAACAAGACGTCTTCACAGTCATGCAGATATGGTGCTATGCTGATCATATTTCGGTCAAAGCTTTTTAAGTAGTTTTTTCCTTGCTCAAAGGAGAATTCCACCAGTTTTTCAAAATTTCTGCTTAATTCAGTCATTGAGATGCAGCTGAAGATTTCTTTACAGTGATGGTGATAGGAACCAGGAGTCACCTTGACTAGAACACAAATACAGCCGTACAACCTTCTGAGTGTTTATACATAATGTCGATGGTAAAATAGTGTTAAATCTGAATTTTCACCCTGGGTGAGTTTAAAAATGTGCAACAGCTTTTTGTAAAACTATCATAAAACAGTGTCTCAGGCAGCAGGCAGTGTATTCATAACCATTTCATGTAATAACTTTCTCTAACTGAGGGAGCTTTTAGAGGTGGACGTCTGGTTCCTATCACCACCACTGTGAGTTGGTAAGTGTCTTGATCACACCAAACCACTCAGAATGACTTTGTTTACACCTTAATGATGGATTTATGCAGAAATGTTTAGAAATCAATGCGAGGTCAGTGTGCAGAGAGAGTGGGCAGTGTTGTATTGGTTTGATTAGCGCTACAGTGTCATCATCCAGCACTTATTTCCGGATTAGACACAGATATTACCCTGACTACATACTGACCATAATTTGATCTACAACCACCCATTCTCCACTCCAGAAATGCAGCGTATCACAGTCCATTAGTCGTGCACCCCCAGCAGAACCACCTTTGGCATGGGCCAGCTGACCCTGACATGTGTGCCTTCTTTGGAATGCCTTAGTCTGGTAAAAGTAGGGCTAAATGAGGGTTAAATGCAAGACAAGGAGGCTGAACATCCAATGGGCATTCATACACTCTGGAAAAATTCCAAAAGCCCAGTTAAGCTCACACATGCTCGGGGATTTATGGAGGTGTCCAAATCGCAATTTCATTGAGCTACTTAAGCAATGATGCTTAGATGTAGCTATCTTGGAACATGGGGGCAACATGTCGAATGTGTAAAGGCCTCTTTGTGTGATGCCATCGCAGAACCACTTTTGGTTCCTTAAGAAAGTTTTAAGCAGATGGTACTTTTTAATGTTACGTTATGTAAACTTTCTTCAGATTTACATGGTACTTTAAGGAAAAGTTGTACTTCTATCCCTCAAGGAACACTTTGTGGGACCATTTTTTGAAGACAGAAGTAGGCTAAATGTGTTTGGAGCAGTGGTTCTGCAATACTCCAGTTCTTTTTTTCCCCT